ATAAAAGAGGAACTGACAGGCTTGGGGGGCAGAATGGAGCAAGGATGGGAAGATAGTGAACATTATGTTGGCCTTTTGTTTTGGTTATAGATTTTTATGTATGTTATGAGTGATTTTTAAAAAATTATCACTTTATTTTGTATATATATGTGAAATATCAGTGTGTATCCTAAAAATCAACTTTAGTATTATTGAATTGCTCAATATTGTGATACCTGTTAATGAAGCTCTAAAAATAGTACTTTTTTTTTGAGTTGGAGTTTCACTCTGTTGCCCAGACCGGAGTACAGTGGCCGCTCCCGGCCACCGCAGCCTCGACCTGCTGGGCTCCGGCGATCCTTCCGCCTCAGCCTTCCGAGTAGCTGAAATTACAGGCATGTGCTACCACGCCCGGCTGATTTTTTTTTTTTTTTTTGATTTATTATAGAGATGAGGTCTCACTGCCCAGGTGGGTCTCGAACCCACGGGCTCAGGCAATCCACTCACCTCAGCCTCCCAAAGGAGCAGGATGACAGGCTAAGCCACCAAGCCCGGCTAAAATAGTACTTTTTACATAGCAGACATTGAAAATGGAATTTTTGTTGCTTAAATCACAGTAAAATGCCAGCTTTACTATAGCTTTATAATATTTTTTAAAAAGAATTTGACACCAGGCATGATGGCTCATGTCTTGTAATCCTAGCACTTTGGATGGCGGAGGCAAGAGAATTGCCTGAGCTCACGGGTTTGAGACCAGACTGAGCAACACAAGCCCTCGTCTCTACAATAAAGATCAAAAAATTAGCTGGGCGTGATGGCACATGCCTGTGGTTCCAGCTACTTGGAAGGCTGAGACGGATGGATCACCTGAGCCTAGCAGATCAAGGCTGCTGTGGCAGTGAGCATGCCACTGCACTCCAGCCTGGGTGACAGAATGAGACTCCAACTCAAAAGAAAGAACTTTGATTTACAAAGTAGCAATTTTCAGTTTTGCTACATTCATGAAAAACAGCAGGAATTTTTAACATATCTATGAAGTATACACAATGCATTTTCAGTGCAAATGCAGCAAAACAAATCTGGACTATGGATAAATAATTTGCATGCTCCCACCTGTGACTATAAATATAGTATCCATGCTGATTTAAACAGTAATAAAACATCCACTGGTTTAGAAACACAGAAATAGTTGCCACTATCCAACTCATGTACCAGATTCAGGTCAGCATTTATCGACATTTCTGTTGCGCTGGCTTTTGCCTTTATATGATCATGCCTTGCAGGAGAGTTGCATTGATAGACCCTTTTTAAAAAATGTAGGCCGGGCTCAGTGGCTCAGCCTGTAATTCCAGCGCTTTGGGAGGCCGAGGTGAGTGGATTGCCTGGGCCCGTGAGTTCGAGACCCGCCTGGACAACTTGGCGAGACCTCATCTCTACAATAAATCAAAAATTAGCTGGGCATGGTAGCGTGTGCCTGTAGTTCCAGCTACTTGGAAGGCTGAGGCGGAAGGATCTCCGGAGCCCAGCAGGTCGAGGCTGCAGTGACCAGGAATGGCTGCTGCACTCCAGTCTGGGTGACAGAGTGAGACTCCAACTCAAAACAAGCAAACAAACAAAAATGTAAACGTGTGTAGCTGCTTCTGTTAGTTAAGGTCTACTTTTGACTCTAAGTTCTTTTTCTGTCCAGAACTCTTTCCACTGCACTAGCATTTGCTCAAAAATAAAAAACAGCTGAGAAGAAAACTTCAGAAAGTCACAAGGGCTTCTTCTGTCAGCAGCATTTACTCTGCCTGAGTGTTTCCATTTCTGGCTTTACATAAAACTTTTTCTGGTGTGAAAGGATAAATATGCCTTCCCAAAGTTGTATAACATAATTGTACCAATTTTTTTCTGTCATTTCTAGAAACAAGTGTAATAAATATTTTTAAAGTCTCAAAAAAAAATTTTTTTCCCATGTTCTACTCCAGCATACATCTCCAACATTTCATTAGAGCTATGATTATTTCTGATTTCAACTTATGTCATTAAGAGCACATAGTGTCTTACTTTCTGTGTCCTGCCTTTCCTTTAAACCCAGAATCAGGCTGGCTGTGGTGGCTCACACCTGTAATCCCAGCTCTTTAGGAGGCAGACAAAGAGGATTGCCTGAGTCCAGGGGTTCAAGACCAGCCTGGGCAACTTGGTGAGACCTCTTCTCTACAATTAAAAAAAAAAAAACCTAGCTAAGCATGTTGTCATGCATCTGTAGTTCCAGCTATTTGGAAGGCTGAAGTGGAAGGATCACCTGAGCCCAGCAGGTTGAGGCTGCAGTGGCTGTGAGCATGCCACTGTACTCCAGTGTGGGCAACAAATTGAGATTCCAACTCAAAAAAAAAAAAAAAGACCCCAAATTAAAGAAAACAGAATCATTATCCTTTTCTGGATAATTAAGAACATTATCTTGGAGAAATATTCCTGATCCTGTGAATCAAAAATGTGGATCCTGACCGATTTCTATAGATATACCTGCTGCCTTTCAGACAACTGCTGGCTGACAGGCATTACTAAGACATGAGATGCCTTAGTAAAAGTGCAACACAGCATGTGGTTAGGAGTCAGACAGATTGGGGTTAGAATTCCAACTCTGCCACTTGCCATGTCTGTGACTCTGGACATATGATATATCTCCTAGGTCTCAACTTCCTCATCCATAAAATGGGAATTTAAAACAAGGACTTACTTCATAGGATAGTTGTGAGGACTAGTGAAATAGCATGTGATACCTGCTTAACATTTTCTGGGATACAACACATGCTCAATAAAGGTTATCTTTGTGTATCATTATCCCATATTTTATTTTACAGAGGCTCAAGAATCAAGCGAGTTTATGAAAGAAATGAATGAATGACCTTTATGTTATAAAAAAACCGAGGAGTTCTCCGTATATACTTACCTTCCCTGAATGATGTAATATGGATTTGTCAGGGTAGTTATTTAAACCTTTTCTGGGCCTTGTTATTTTTAGCCTAGACCACTGCCTTCCAAAATGTCCTTGAACCAATAGCATCAGCATCGCCTGGGAACTAGCTAGAAATGAAAATTCTTGAGCCCACTTCTAGACCTATTGAATCGGGAACTGTGGGGGCGGGGCCCAGTATATTGTTTTTTTAACAAGCCCTCAAATAATTCTGATGCATACTAAAGTTTAAGAATCACTGGCTGGCCGGGCTCGGTGGCTCAGCCTGTAATCCCAGCACTTTGGGAGGCCGAGGTGAGTGGATTGCCCGAGCCCGCGGGTTCAAGACCAACGTAGTCAACTTGGCGAGACCTCATCTCTACAATAAAAATTAAAAATTGGCTGGGCATGGTAGCGTGCCTTGTAGTTCCGGCTACTTGGAACGCTGAGGCAGAAGGATTGCCGGAGCCCAGCAGGTTGACACTGGGGTAGCTATGACTGCCCTCCAGCATGGGTGACAGAATGAGACTCCAACTCAAAAAAAAAACCCACTGGCCTAGACCATCTTTAAAAGTACAACAATAACAAAAAACAAGAGCTTTATTTATGTAGTAAATCACATACCATACAATTTGACCATTTAAAGTGTGCAATTCAATGGTTTTTAGTACATTCAAGTTATACAGTTATCACCACAATCAATTTTAGAATATTAAAAAAATTTTAGAACATTTTTATCACCCCAGAACAACCCAGTACACATTGTTATTCACTTATCATTTCCCCCAAGCTCACCAACCCAGAACAATTGCTAGTCTTTCTGTATCTCTATGGATTGCCTATTCCAGGTATTTCATATGAATGGAATCATGTGACCTTTTGTGTCTGGCTTCTTTCAGTTAGCATAGTGTTTTTAGGTTCATCGTGATGTAGCATATATCAGTTCTTCCTTTTAATGGCTGGCTAATAGTTCATTATATGGACTTACTACAATTTGTTAACTTCATACTTTAATGGACACTTGGGATGTTTCCCACCTTTAAGTCATCACAGATAACACATTTGTGAACAAATTTTCTGTAGACATATATTTTCAGTTTTCTTGGCTATATACCTAGGAGTTGAATTGCTAGGTCCTAGAGTGACTTAATGTTTTTAGCCTTTTGAGGAACTGCCAGACTGTATATTCCAAAGCACCTGTACCATTTTACATTCAGCCAGCAATATATGAGCATTCTTCATATTCTTATCAGCAGTTATTATTATCTGCTAGACTATCTTTTGAGATAATGAATTCTGTAAGCGTATTATGCTATGGAACTTATCTTCCCTAAAGTAAAATCATTAAACCTTCAAAGGATACCTCTTAGCTATTATTTCTGAGACTGTTGGTACTGTCCATCTTGTGATTTTATAAACTTTCATATTCTTTTTAGCAGAACAAAAAATAGTATCTTAATAAAAATATGTAAATAATGGAAAATAAAAATCTTTAATTAATTAATTTTTTTTTTTAGTTATAGTCTCATTCTGTTGCCCGGGCTGGAGTGCAGTGGCATGCTCACAGCCACCACAGCCTTGACCTACTGGGCTCAGGAGATTCTTCTGCCTCAGCCTTCCAAGTAGCTGGAACCACAAACATGCGCCACCACGCCTGGCTAGTTTTTTTAGTTATTGTAGAGACGAGGTCTTGCCAAGTTGCCCAGGCTGGTCTTAAACCAGTTCTCTCACCTCTGCCTCTCAAAGTGCTGAGATTAAAGACATGAACCACTATACCTGGCAATCTTTTCTAATCTTAATCTTTTCATCTTAAAATGAAAAAGTCTTATATCTCAGTTAAATTTTGAAATAATTAAGCCAGGAACATTTTTTATTCTCTAATATGTCTAGCCTACTAATTAGTCAATTAATATTTTTTGATTGGTAGCGTCTCAAACATTTCTTGCATATAAACATTTCTTAGCTTTGCAAAATACCTGCTGTTGAAAGCAACTCATTTTCTTGACACTTTGATTTTTTGATTATAAGTCCCTACTAAAGAAATAGAGTTATACTACAGCTGATTGACAGCTCTTTTCTTTTCCAGAGGAATGGCTTCTTGTGGGAACCAAGCAAGGACATCTTCTTCTTTATAGGATTCGGAAGGACGTTGGTAAGTGGCAGACTTTCTAGAACCAAGAAAGAAATAGTTTATTGCTCATGCAAAAAGATAAGTTTTCATAGTCAACTAGTATACAACTGTGAAATCAGTGATTCCTGTACCACTAAAAGAGGGATTAGGGTTGGAGGGAACACAATGGGAAAATAGGGAGAAATGTAAGGATCTCTAGGTTTGTTGTGGGTTTTTTCCTCCAAATTGTATTTCCCTTCTGGAAGGGGTTGCTGAATGTTCCTTCTCTCCTCATTTCTTGGAGACTCACTGTATATAAATATTACTGATAGGAGTAAGATTTTTGTATAAATGGTGTGGTGGTAGGAAAAAAGAATAGGAACCATTAATTTAAACGACCTTATTAACTTATGAGGAGTAGACTAGTAAGAGAGGACCTGGATTTGCAATCACTTCTACTTCTCCTAGGCCATGTGATTATGAGCAGGTTATTCCCATCATCAGTTTTCTTTTCCATAAAGTATCTGTCTCACAGAGTTGGGGGCAGATGCAATAACAGACTTGGAAGGACTTTGAAAAAAGCTCAAATCTATGTGACTTTATCAATAATATTGTAGAGTATTTGAAATTTATTCTGTTAAAGAATAACTTTTATGACGGGGCTTGGTGATGCAGCCTGTAATCCCAGCACTTTGGGAGGCCAAGGCAAGTAAATTGCCTGCACCTGCAGGTTCGAGACCAGCCCAGGCAACTTGGTGAGACCTCGTCTCTACAATAAAAATAAAAAAATTAGCCAGGCGTGTTAGCTTGTGCCTGTAGTTCTGGCTACTTGGAAGGCCGAGGCAGAAGGATCGCTGGAGCCCAGCAGGTTGACACTGGGGTGACCATGAGTGTGCCACTGCACTCCAGCCTGGGTGACATAGTGAGACTCCAACTCAAAAAAAAAGAACTTGGCGCAATATTGAGGAAGAAGGCATTTTACTGCTGCAGTAGGGAAAGAGGAAGGTATCCTGGTCAGGTTCTGTGGTGGGGTAAGAAGAGAAACTAGAAAACAAAATAGAGAGTTTATTTCATTTCTTAGTTTTTCAGCTTTCCTCTAAATCGAGTCTGCAAACTTGTTTCAAAAAGATCTAAAGAGTAAATATTAGGCTTTACGGTTCATAAAATCTCTGTTATGACTACTCAACTCTGCCATTGTAGCAAGAACACAGCCATAGATAATATGTAAATGATGAGTCTGGCTGTGTTCCAGTAAAATTTTATTTGCAAAAACATGCTGAGGGCTTAATTTGGCCCATGTGTAGTACGTTGCTAATCTTTGCTTTAAATTTCTGGTTCCTATAACCAGAATATTTGCATTCTGTGATGTCTACCTGGTCTATAATTTTAAAATTAAACTTGCCTTGAATCTTATTCAGCATTCAACAACTGTTTTTGAATCTCTACTTTGGGCTCAGATATAAGTGGTGAGAAATTGAAACCTAGACTAGGCTCATTGAAGGATCAGTGACTCTTTCAACACAGTGTAGACCCAAACTGGTAATGTTAGTGTTAATCTGACTTGGCACCCTGATGGTGACTATTCCTTGCCCTGTGATCAATTTACCATGTCACCTTTGACAAGTTAGTTTATCTTCCTGGGCTGCCATTTCTCCATAGGTAACTTGAATAGCAATACTAACCTACATTAGATAATTAGGAAATCAAACTCTAATTTGAAAGCTTAAGAAACATCCTTTCTCCCTATAACCTAGTGAACAGTTTAGTTCTGACCCAGCTCTGGTCCAACGTGGGCTAGAAATAGACCTGGGCCTCAGTGAATCAGCTATAGGACTAATTTTGTTTCTAAATTTGAGATATTCCAAATCCAGATAGGACTGTGCCTACACTGTCTTTCTGAGGAAATGAAAGGGATAGTAAGGTGTCAAGTAAAGACTAGGGCTAGGGAATCTAGGTTCTGATCTGATCTGAGCCTTCTTCTTTGAGCTCAGAAAACATCTCTAGACTTTATTCTACTCTTATCTTGAAGAGAGGAGTTAGATTAGTTTGTATCTAAGACCTTAACAACACTGGGTTTATTGCAGTGGTCCTGTCACTCTAGAGCAGCAGTTCTTAAAATGTGCTCTCTAGACCCCTAAGGGTTCCCAAGAGTCCCTCAGAGGACCCACACGGACGAGACTGAGTTGACAGTAACACTAAAACATTATTATTATTTATTTTTCACCATATTGACATTTGCAGTGAAGGTGCAAAAGGAATAGTAATTAAAACTGCTAGCCTCTGAACACAAATCAAGAGTGGTATCAAACTGTACTGGCAGTCATGGTGTTATTCTTACTGTGTGCTCTTAGTGGTGTTTTGTTTTGTGATGGAATCTTGCTATGTTGCCTAGTCTGGAGTGCAATAGCTACTCACACAAGTGATCATAGCACACTGTAGCCTTGAACTCCTGGGCTCAGGCAATCCTCCCACCTTAGCCTCCTTAGTAACTGGGACTACAGGTGTATGGTCCAGCGCCTGGCTGGTTTTGTTTTTTATTAAAACTAGTTTTACTTTAGAATATTCTTTGTTCGGCAGTAAAAGTTATTAACTTTATTATATTTTGACTTTTGGTAACGCATGTTTTTAATAATTTTCTGTAATATAATGGGAAATATATGTAAATTAAGTAAACACATTTATGCTGTGTGCCAAGGCATGAAGTCTGATGGCTGTTTCAGGGAAAAGTGCTTGTGTGATTGTTGGAGTTATAAGCTAAACAGCTATTTTTTTTATCGAGTATTACATTGCTTGAAAGAATGATTGACAGGCTATGATTTTTCAGACCATTTGAATATTTGGCAGATTTTTTTTTTAAGCAAACAAAAGGAAGCTGTTACTTTAAACAACTAGAAGTATTTGTTATGAGTGATAGAATTTAGAGCTTGCTTTCTTTTTTGAGTTGGAGTCTCACTCTGTTACCCAGGCTGGAGTGCACTGGCTTGCTCACGGCCACCACAATCTCAACCAGCTGGACTCAGGTGATCCTTCTACCTCAGCCTTCCAAGTAGCTGCAACTACAGGCGTGTACCATCATGCCCAGCTAATTTTTTGATTTATTATAGAGACAAGGTCTTGCCATGTTGCCCAGGCTGGTCTCAAACCCATGGGTTTAGGCAATCCTCTTACCTCCACCTCCCAAAGTGCTGGCATTACAGGTGTGAGCCACTACTCCTGGCAGAAGTTAGAACTTTCAAGAGAAAATTAGTATTATGGAAAACTTGTGTCCACTCTCATGAGCTTGACTGCTTCTCCATACTTAAAGGTTTGTTTTTTTTTTCTAATTAGATTGGAGGTGACAATAAGTATAATTTTAAAAAGTCTTCCATAATGAAATGTGCCAACATTGGGAAAATCTGTATAATGCAGTGAACCAATATTTTTTAAGGATGACCAGTGCATGAAGTTTAAAAATTATGCATGAGTAAAAGATCCACTCAAAGTATAAGATTGACCACTGGCATTAGTTATTGGCATCTAGATATTACTTAATGATAGCTGCTGTTGTTGTTATGATAATTATTCTCATTTTGACTCTTTGGTGACTTTTGAGCCTGAATATTTTTGTCATCCCTAGCAAGGCTGAATTCAAATGTTTTTATGACATGTAACTTTCTTCCCCTTTTTTGCAATAATACCAGCAGATGTAGCATCTCCTGAAAGTGGTAGTAAGTGTAGATACATTAAATTGCTTTAGCTCTGGATATGGGGTTAAGTGTTTGCTCTGTCCCCATGATATAGGACATAGGGTACCTGCTGGAAATTAGTGGTCTAAACCTACAGATGCTTTGGGCTGGGTTTCATTGCTTGGGCTCTCATATTTGACTATTACTTTTTATACTCTTCCTTGTAGAACACATTGCCAAGGTACTTCTTTTGTACCTGCAGACTCACAAGTACCCTGCAGCTTCATTATACACTTGGTGTGATCCTTTCTGCTAATGCCGAGTGAAGGTGCATGAAGCCCTCTGTTCTAAAATTGGAGCTGAAAGTATCTTACTAAGTTCAATATGGCTCTTTCAGATCTCTGACTTCTAGTCTTTTAGTAACTTTGAAAGATTTATATAAGCAAGCACCATGGAGCAGTGTTCTTGTTGTAGTTTTTATATGTGCCCCTGTGTTTGGAACTGCCAGTGTTTATTTATTTTCCATAGGTTGCAACAGGTTTGAAGTGACACTAGAGAAATCCAATAAGAACTTCTCCAAAAAGATTCAGCAGGTAGGCAGTGATGGCAGTTGTTACAAGAATATTTGACTTATATGAGCCCCTGTGAATCTAGAACTTTGATCATGTTTAAAAGTTATTAACTCTTTTAATCCTCTTCTCTGTCTTTCCATTTATGCAGAGATCTCTGCCCACGTATTGTATGCCTAAGATTCTCTTCGTAAGCAGAAATTGTGATTCCACAGAAAATTAAGTCAGATCCCCTGACCCTGGAATAGGCTCTTTAGTCCCTTTTTAATACTGTTGTTAAATGAACATTTGCTAAACCTTGTCAGAAATGTTATTGGGTCTAATGATACGCTGTTTTCCAGATCCATGTGGTTTCCCAGTTTAAGATTCTGGTCAGCTTATTAGGTAAGAAAAGAAGTTGTGTTTGTGCCTAAAAAGAAAAACTGTGACCTAATTAACTCTTTCATGGTTAATTTGTTAGTAATTACTTAATAATGAACTGACATGTTCCAAAACCAGATACCGTAGGGTATGTGGATAAATAAAGGCAATGGCATTTTCCATAAACTTGAATTCTGCAGTCCAGGAAGTTTTATTTCATTCAATAATCAATCAAACCTCTGTTGAGCCCTATTCTGTGAAAATCCTGGACTAGACATTGGTGATACCAAGTTCAGGCATGGTTGCTCTTTGTTACTTATATTCTGATTATGGAGACTGAAATGACAGAAAGTAATCATGATATAATGTGGTAAGCTTCAGTGGAAATTTATAAAAAGTGTTGCATGATCTTAGTCATGAGAGGGACTATGATGTCTGGTGAATGATTAGAATTTCTAGAAAGAGAGGTAGGCAGAGTATTTAGGTAGAGGGAAAAACTTGAACAAAGGCTCTGAAATACGGCAATGCATGGCAAGTAGTTCATTGTGGCCAGACGAAGGATATGTGGTGGAGAGTGATGGGATACCAGGTAAGAGACAGATCAGGGCCAGACTGTTAAGGGTCTTGTTTGAAAAAACATGGTTTCATTGAAAGCAGCCAATGAGGCCTTTTCTTACAAGCAGAGGACTAGAGGCTTGCCTCACACTGTTTTTCAGCCTAGGGCCCAAATAGTAAAATCAGTTTAAACTTAGCTCCTAGGTCCACAGATAAACATTTTACAGTAACAAAATCTTCCTGACTAAAACTAGGTACAAGGCCTAGGTAAAATTACAATTTTGCTTGCTTTGCTAGGAAAAAAATCATTGCCATGGGTTCGTACAAAATCCACAGGGGATGTCCTTTTGCTAATCAGAACCTCCTAATTTAAGTAGCCTTGAAAGCCATTTCTTGTACAAATATTGGATCATCAATTTCTGGACTTGAGAAGGACAGAGTATAAGAATGCTTTGGAAGTGAAAGATCTTTTTTACTTAAGTTTCCCAAATTTTTAAGGAGCAAAATATTCAAGTTAGAAGATCAAGTGACATCTTAAATGTTTATACTGGTACACCTTCAACCAACATCTGCCATTTTATCTTCTAAATATTACACAGTTACTTTTTTTGTCTTGAAAGTGGCTACTACATTAGAGAATTATGATCATTTATAATGATATTTTTACATCCTCTCCCAAACAGAAAATAACATTTATGTCCATGACCTGTTGACATTTCAACAAATCACCACAGTTTCAAAGGCAAAGGGAGCATCACTGTTCACATGTGACCTCCAGGTAAGTGTACCCAAGTTGAAATTTGGCTTTATGCTTTAATCAATATGGTCATTTCTATACCGTTTCTATCATTAGGTGGGAAGAATGACATTGATGACCCAAACCCAGCAGAGACTTCAAAGAGAATATTTGATTGTATTAGGGAAATTAGAACTTTTTTTTTTTTTTGAGTTGGAGTCTCACTCTGTCGCCCAGACTGGAGTGCAGTGGCCGCTCCCGGCCACCACAACCTCGACCTGCTGGGCTCCGGCGATCCTTCTGCCTCAGCCTTCCAAGTAGCTGGAATTACAGGCATGCGCTACCATGCCCGGCTGATTTTTTTATTTATTGTAGAGATGAGGTCTCGCTGCCCAGGTGGATCTCGAACCCGTGGGCTCAGGCAATCCACTCACCTCAGCCTCCCAAAGGCGTGGGATTACAGGCTGAGCCACCGAGCCCGGCGGAAATTAGAACTTCTTAGAGAAGTTTTCCCCTTAGGTTTTATTAGAGAAATTTTCCTCTTGATAATTGATGTGAAGTTGAAACGTTTTTATTTTCTGTGTGTGAATTAATGCGAGTCTGGTACTGATGGCAGGAGGTGACTAACCAAGGGTAAAAACACTTGTCATAGACAAACCATTAGTGAGAAAGGAAGATCAAAACAGTATCATGAACATAATTGTAGGACATTAAATTGACTCTTGTTCTAAACAGATCACTGTGGTCTTTGTCATTAGGGACTTCTCATTGTTTAGAAAAGATACCTCTCCTTATTTTTGCCAATTCATTATCCTTACAGTCTTCAAAATCTGCCTCATCCCTCTACTCAGCTCTGATCACTTTTTAACTTTTATGGTCTACGGTGATAATGCATTGTTTTATGCTTAGGAATTTCCTTTTTTTTCTACTCGGGGTCTCATTCTGCCACTCAGGCTGGAGTGCAGTAGCACGATCACGGCTCACCACAGCCTCGACTTCCTGGACTCAGCCTCAGCCTTCCAAATAGCTGGGACTGCAGGCATGCACCACCACACCCAGCTAATTTTTTAATTGTTTTGCAGAGACAAAGTCTCACTATGTTGCTCAGGTTGGTCTTGAACTCCTGGGCTCAAGTGATCCTCCTGCCTACACCTCTCAAAGTGCTGGGATTACAGGCATGAGCCACCACGACCAACCTTGAAATTTTCTTTCACCCACTCCTTTAAAGGATTGAAAATGGTCATGCTGCCACCAGCACATGCTGATCCCTGACCCAGCATGTGTTGACAGCCATGAGCAAGAAACAATTAAGGAAAAAAAGCAGGAACTATGTAGGAGAGAGTCTGCTCCAGGATTTTCCCGTCTGAATTGTGACTGTCCGTGTGTTTTGCTGCTGCTGGGGTCTTTGGCAGGCATCCCTTAGAGAAGAAGTATTCCTCAGCCAATTTTTAAAAATTATTATATCTCTGAGAATAGTGTTCTGCTCAGCTTTTCTGGCATGATGATACTATAGGGGATTTTCAGGTTAGTAGTCATTTCAGGATAGAAAATCTCTCACCTAGTTGTTACCCAGTTACGGAGAATCACTGGATGTGAATCCTCATTTGCTCTGGGTGTCTCTTCTCAGCACACAGAGACTGGTGAGGAGGTGTTGCGGATGTGTGTGGCAGTGAAGAAGAAGCTGCAGCTCTATTTCTGGAAGGACAGGGAGTTTCATGAATTGCAGGTAAAGGCTACTGTGCTTGATCCATGGGTTGGGTGGAAGCTGCTGCTGTAGTTGATCCACAGCTTAAAAGACTTCCTGTTCAGTTTTAGTGAAGTTCCAGAGCCCAGTTTTATAGATTCCCCCCCAAATGAATACTCTGGTATGAGGCTCATGAGAGCTTGTTCATGCCTACTTGTAATTCTACATCTCTGCTGATTGGTTTATTTAAGAATAGGTTTTCACCTTTTCCAAAAGCACTTTGTCAGTTGATAGGTGACTTACATTTTTATTAAGAGTAGTTTCTTGCCCTTGTGCTTAGAGAACTGAGCTCAGGTGAGAGTGAGGGTTATTTTGCAGAATAGAGTTGTAATAACAGGAAGGTCCTGTTTTTTTTTCCTTAACATCTTTTCAATTGAACTCTTGCTGTCTTTCTTCAGGGGGACTTCAGTGTACCAGACGTGCCCAAGTCCATGGCATGGTGTGAAAATTCTATCTGTGTGGGTTTCAAGAGAGACTACTACCTAATAAGGGTAAAACCTTATTATTTTGCAAATATCATCAGTTCACCTTGAGGAAGATTATTTTGAATTTACCTTGGGCAGATGATTATGTGCTTCTGAACTACAGGTCAAGAGGCCCCTTCAGTAAAGTTTTGGCAGGGTTTTTAAACAGGATTTATTGTTTATTGTTTAGTTATTTTTCATGCTCTTAGCATTTTTCATAAATCAGTTATCTTTGTAGCTTAAACCGGAGTCAACTTTTAATTCTCTAATGATTATTCATAGTGTGGATATAATTATTAGGACAGCTAATTAGGGCTGTTTGTCTCTGTCCAACTACATTATCATACACTGCTATCTAAGGCTTCAGTGCTCAGAAATTTTAAACTAATTTTTTAAAAGCTTAGGTTTTTTTTGTTTGTTGATTGGTTGGTTTGTTTTTAGTTGGAGTCTCACTCTTACCCAGACTAGAGTGCAGTGGCACAGTCACAGCTCACCACAGCCTTGAACTCCTGGACTGAAGGAATCTCTACCTTCCTCACCTTCCTGAGTAGCTGGGACTACAAGTCTGCACCACTACACCTGGCTCATTTTTTTGATTTGTTGTAGAGATGAGGCCTTGCTATGTTGCCTAGGCTGGTCTCAAGCAATCCTCCTGCCTTGGCCTCCCAGAGTTCTGGGATTACAGGCATGAGCCACCACACCCAGCTTAAGTATTTTTAAGATTTTTAGTTTCCTGCCCCCTAAAATCTTTTAGTATTTGAGGGGATGGCGTCTAAAACACCCCATATCTATTTACTAAGAACTGTGTATTTATTCTTACATGTTTAGACTTCAGTCACCTTCAAAGTACTCTCCGTTTGATGCAGTACACCTATTGAGATGCTTTTTCCACTGCTCAAAACAGTTTTTGAACTCATTAATTTCGATGACTTTTAGTACTTCTGCCATTTTTTGTTTTACCTCTTTCACATCAGCAAAACGTTTTCTTTTGAAGACTTTTGTAATCCTAGGAAACAAAAAAAAGTTGCTTAGGTGAGATCACGTGGATAGGGAGGATGGGGCATGTGAATCATGCCATTTTTGTGCTCGTAAATCACCCATCATGAAATGGGCAAGTGTGTTGAAAGACTCTCCCCCTTAAAATTCGGTGAAGTGGAATGTAGCCTCTCACAACAATGCTAGCTAGTACATTGATGTCAAAGGCTTTCTAGAACACTCACCTAATGAGGGAAGCCTATATTATAAGAGGCCTGCCCTCCAGGAGACATTTCTGGTTTTTTGGGAGTGCTTCCTTGTATTTGTTTTTAAAATTATTTTCACTTTTTTAAAAATTACAAAAGCCACATGCAAACTTATTACTGAAAATAAGAAAATATAGATGAGGAAATAAAAGATGTGCAAATCATCCATAATCACCCCCACTCAGAAATAATCACTGTTAACCCTTTGGTATATGGGCTTCCAGCCTATTTACAAAAATATCATGTTATACACTTTGTTTTACAACCTGCTTGTTCTCTTAACATAAGTGGGTGATACAACATTGTTTTTTCTCCAATATGTGTATCATATGTAGAAAAAATTGATATACCATTCATTTTGTAGAATAACCTAAATCTAAATTATCACCCCTCTCATAATTCAGACTTGTCAGTTTTTGAAGCCTTTCTCTGTAACCCCCACTGGGTAAGCGCTTCACTGCTACCTTATTAATATATTAATATATTTGTTCCACATTTTTATTGTTGGAATATCCTACTTTTATCAGCATCAGAGTAGCAGCATCATGGGGGAGTCACTGCCATGCAACTGACTAAACAGCACCTAGGCACATGGGTGCTGAGAGAGGTCTGCAAGGAGTGAGAGGTCTAAGCCAAAGGTGGATCAGGGCTTTCCATTCTCTGACTACCTTAGATGCTGCCATCACCTTCTTGAAGGTGACGTTTTCTTGCTTGAGGGCCAGGCTATTTGGAAATTATTCATTTATTTACACAGAGTAAAATTTATTTTTTGTATACAGTTCTGTGTTTTGACAAATGCCTAGCATTGTATAACTAACACCAAAATAAAGATTCACAACATTTCTGTCACCCTCCAAAATTTCCTCATACTGTCCCTTTGAGGTCAGCCTCTCCTTCTGCTCCCAGACCTCTGGTAGCCACCAATCTGTTTATCTCTTTTAGTTTTGCTTATTCCAGAATGTCACAGTAATGGTCTCATACAGTATGTAGCCCTTTGAGTCTGGCTTCTTTCACTTCGTATGATGCATTTGAGATTCATCTGTGCCATTGCATGTGTCAATAGTTTATTCTTTTTAGGACTGAGTAGTAAGTAGTCTATAATAATGCACCACAGTTTGTTTATCCATTTATCAGTTGAAGAAAAAAGTTGTTTCCAATTTTTGGCAAGTATGAATAAGGTTTTGATAGACATTTGCATACAGGTATTTGTATAAACATAAGTTTTCATCTTCCTTGAGCAAATGCCTGGCACTGGGATTGCTAGGTTATATGGTAATTGCAAATTTAACTTTATAAGAAACTAACAAACAAGACGGTTGGACCATTTTGCATTCCCACCAGCAGTGTATGAGACTTACAGTTGCCCTAAGTCTCACCAGCACCTGGCATTGTCACTTGCCATGCTAGCTGCTTTTTTTTTTTTGCATTTGGGAGAAAGAGAACTGGTTTTACATTGTGATAACGAAGCTTATTATAATGAACTCTATAATATTTTCTTATGTCTGCCAAGGAATATCATTGACTTTTCTAGGTTTGGGGTCTTATCTAGAATTTTCCAGGCTGTGTTTGTGTCTCTGGGTGGGGAATGCTGGGTAACTCACTTTGTGTCTTCCTGTAGGTGGATGGAAAGGGGTCCATCAAAGAGCTCTTTCCAACAGGAAAACAGCTGGAGCCCTTAGTTGCACCTCTCGCAGATGGAAAAGTAGCTGTGGGTCAGGATGATCTCACCGTGGTGCTCAACGAGGAGGGGATTTGCACACAGAAATGTGCCCTGAATTGGACAGACATACCAGTGGCCATGGGTGAGACCAACAGTAGCTACAGTTTCCCCCTTTGGACTGGTTTTGTGTGGCATCCTGCAGAATGGAGTCCCCTTCATAGCTTTCGCAGACTGGTTTATGTTGTGTCATTCACTCGCAGTTTCCCTACCTCTAAGTAGACCATGTCCAGGGTCGTTAAAAGTGGGGTAGTCTAGTTTTTGTAGAAAGCTGAGTTTTGCTTCAAAAGTGGAAAGTTGTAAACAAAAATGTACATTTTAGGAAGTGACTGACTACTGCTATTCTTCCTTCTTTTTAAGCATTTTATTGTGTCCCCTACTGACTAGACTACATTTGGAAATTAGTGGAAATTCTTTATCTATTCCTTTAGTACAAGTAATTCCATGTTGAAGGGTTTTCAATGTGGTGGTTATTGTTGCTATTGTTTCTGTAGCTTAGAGTTATAGACAGCATTTAGGTGTCAGTCTCTGTCCTACACATAAGGTATTTCAGTCCTTCCACCTGCCTCGGGCTCCAAACTCTCCACAGTGGTATTGCCTGGAAGTGTATGACCACCTGTGTAGGTTTCATTTTCAGTCCTTGTTACTGCTGTGGAGTAGGACATATAGACTTGCTTTCTATCTTTTAAAGACCCCTGTCTCTGGAGAGAAGGGTCATATCTTGGATAAAGAGAAAAACAAGGTACTGCTTAAGGTGGTACATTGGATGAGTTCAAATTCAGTAGTTCACAGAAAGGGAAGTTCATTATTTAATTAGTCAGTAAGAAGTTTCATTAATGAGTCAGGCAGGGAGTTTGGGGTCTGACTTGAAGAAAAATTCCCATTCATTCTAGGCAGAGGGTAGTTTGAGAAATGTCTGGAAATCAGAAGACATGCCCATTTGTGAGGGGACATTACAGAGACTGACCTGGCTTAAACAGGTGATCTGAATTACAGAGAAGGTAGATAGGGCCATTTATTAGAGGTCCATGAGAAGATCTGAGAAGCTAGCAGAGTCCTAATTGGTAGAACGTCTTGACAAAAGCATTGTGTTCTAGAGTGGTTATCTTGGTGGTGATTAGTGATGCATAGACCATAAGGAAGATAAATCAAAAGGTCAGTATTTTAGAAGGCCCAAGATTATGTATATATGAACAAGTTCAGGGGGTTTAAGAGCTTTATGACAGTCTTTATAGTTTTCTAAGGGACCTTGTTTTCCCTTCAGAAGAGGAACCTTGGTAAATGAGATGAAGATGCATATGCATGTCATATGTTAGAAGTGTGTTTCTGATTCCTCAGTGTAAGATGTCCTGTTTTAAACCCTCCAGCAGTGACTCTTAAAACCATTTCTGTGCCTTAATATACTGTGGCATGTTTTGAGGTACTTCCTCTTGTGAGGTCCTCTCCAACCCACAGATGAGATTAGTCAAGTCTCCTGGGTGCTTCCATAGCCTTTTCAAGTATCTCTCACAGCACCTTGTCATACCAGATGTAATGAATGGTCTGTGCCCTCTGTTTCCGTAGGAACTCCGTGAGGTCTGGACTCATGTCTAGATCCATCTTGAATCCTTACTTCATACATAGTGCAGTGCCTGAGACATCAGAGCCTCTTAGAAAATGCTTGCTGAATACGCGTATCATTATCCTTGACAGCCATTCACCATATACCTGCTGTACACCAGCCTCTCTGCCAAGTTTTGAAGATACAAAGAGATCCAGACATTCTCTGTTGTCAAAAGTTGGGGAGACTGAACAAATGATAAGATATGACAACCAAAGGGATTTCTATTATAGATTACCTTTTTTTTTTGAGGTGGAGTTTCACTCTGTCGCCCAGACTGGAGTGCAGTGGCCGCTCCCGGCCACCGCAGCCTCGACCTGCTGGGCTCCGGCGATCCTTCTGCCTCAGCCTTCCGAGTAGCTAGAACTACAGGCGCGTGCTACCACGCCCAACTAATTTTTGATTTATTATAGAGATGAGGTCTCGTCAAGTTGCCCAGGCAGGTCTCGAACCCGCAGGCTCAGGCAATCCACTCACCTCAGCCTCCCAAGGCACAGAATTACAGGCTGAGCAACCGAGCCCGGCATGGATTACCTTTTTAATCAAACTAGAACTTACTCAAGTGGGCCAAGATTTTAACAGGATCAAGAAATTTTACACGTGTATACAAGTTAGCACTAAAAAAAGAAAATTGTACTAACTTTTCAAAATGAGGCCAGCATAAGAAGAAAAGAAAAAATACAATACAAAACAGTAAATTAAAAAAATTTTTTTTTTGGTAAGATGGAAAATAGCAATAGCATTCAAAATGATGGAAATATGACTTGGGCCTTAAGTTACTCGTTTCTGAGTTATCTTCTAGCTTTGGAATTTATTGTACCATTTTTTAAGTACATGAATATACTAGAAAATAACAGAAATAAGTCACAAATATACTAGGAACAACTTGTGATCAGAAAGTGGATAATTAGGAATATAAATTCATAGTGGGTTAATAACAATACCGAGACTGTTTTTATTAATATATTCTTTGTGGTTAAATTATATGATGATCATGCCATCTAGTGGTTTGCTTTCTTATTTTTTTTTTTTTTTGAGTTGAAGTCTCACTCTGTCACTCAGGCTGGAGTGCAGTGGCATGCTCACAGCTACCCCAGCATCAACCTGCTGGGTTCTGGGGATCCTTTTGCTTCGGGTTTCCAAGTAGCTGGAACTTTAGGGGCACTACCACACCTGGCTAATTTTCAATTTATTGTAGAGATGAGTTCTCGCCAAGTTGCCTGAGCTGGTCTCGAACCCGTGGGTTCAGGCAATTCACTCACCTCGGCCTCCCAAATTGCTGGGATTAGAGGCTGAACCACTGCACTTAGCCAATTTTTTTTTTTTTTTTAACATTTTATTTTATTTTTTAAGACAGAATCTCACTCTGTAATGTAGGCTGGAGTGTAGTGGCATAGTCACAGCTCACTGCAGCCTAAACATCCTAGGCTCAAGTGATCCTCTTGCCTCAGCCTCTCAAATAGTTAGTACTATAGGCACACACCACCATATCCAGCTAATTTTGAAAATTTTTGATGGTGATGAGGTCTCATTTTGCTGCCCAGACCGGTTTTTTTAATATTAAAAAATTTATTTTTAAATGTGGTTTAAAAAAAAAACATGCAACATAAAATTTACCCATAACTATTACATGTAATTATTTTTAAGTGTACAGCTAAATAGTGTTAAGTGTATTAACACTGTTGTACGATAGATCTTCAAAACTTTTTCATCTTGCAAAACTGAAACTCTATACCGATTAAGGCGCTGCTCAATTTCGCACCCCTACCCTCCACCCTCTGGAACCACGATTCCACTTTCTGCTTCTATGAATTTGACTGCTTCTAGATACCTCACATAAGTGGAATCATGTAGTATGTGTCTTTCTGAGACTGCTTTATTTTATTTGACATAATGTCCTTAAAGTTCATCCAGGTTGTAGCATTTGACAAAATTTCTTTTCTTTTGAAAGCTTAATAATAGTCCGTTATATGTATATACCATATTTTATTCATTCATTCATACATGGATCATATGGTAATTCTATATTTAAATTTCTCAGGAACCACTATACTATTTTCTATAGTATCTGCACCATTTTCCATTCCCACTAATAGTGCACAATTTGTTCACATTCTCATTGTCTGATTTTTTGATAGTAGCCATCCTACTGGGTACGAGGTGATATTTCATTGTGTGTGTGTGTGTGTTTTTTTTAACTAATTCCTGATGTTAATATGGAATATAGTCATAGAAAATGTTTCTATTATTTTTAAGTTGGTGCAGTGGCATGCTCCTAGCCACCGCAGCCTCAACCCGCTGGGCTCCGGTGATCCTTCCGCCTCAGTCTTCCAAGTAACTGGAACAACAGGCACGTGCTACTATGCCTGGCTAGTTTTTTGATTTGTTGTAGAGATGAAGTCTCGCCAAGTTGCCCAGGCAGGTCATGAACCCTGTTCAGCAGTTTTTGACCAAAAAACCCCATGACCCCTATACCCTACTATCCTTATTCACCTGATTTTGCTCTGAGCAATTGTTTTTTGTTTCCCCGGATGAAAAAAGTTATCAAAGGGAAGCATTTGCCAGTGTGGAAGAGGTAAAACAAAAAACAGCAAAAAGCACTAAAGGGCATCAAAATTATCTAGTTCAAAAGTGTTTTAAGCAGTGGGAAAAGCATCTCAATAGGTGTATTGCATCAAACAGGGAGTACTTTGAGGTTGACTGAAGGTTAAATGTGTAAGAATAAATACACAATTTTTTAATAAATAAATTCTGTTTGGAGGAGGTTTCCCTTTATAAGCAATACATTTAACTTAAAGTTCATTGTAAAGTAAAGCAGATCCTTATTCAGTCTTATTCTAAGTTTTTGTATTTTAAAAGATATGTTTTCTGTAGCTTATCTACATTTTCTCCATTTATGTTAAATCTCCTTTACTGCACAACCTCGCAAACAAGGGGAGACTTTCCTTGCAAGGATTGTATAGCTTTATCAGCTCTGCTTTCTACATACTGACTTGTTTAGCAGTGTTGTGGGGTTATTCTTCTTCATTCAGCATTTTAAGCTTCAGATTGTCATATGCGTGTCAAAAAGTATAGGAAGAAAAGAGTGGGTATGGTAAATGTTATCTTCAAATGATAGAGGAAGAAGGGAGAAAAGGGGTATAACCCAAGAATTTACGCTGGGTCATTCACTCTTGTGAATGAAAGTGTTTTTTTAGATATGTATAATAGAGGAAAAGAGTAGTAAGATTTACAACAAGTATCAAATAGAAAGTGGCTACACAAAGAATTCTGTCCCTCTGCTTTCTCTGTGTACCATTATATCATTGCCTTAATTCATTTGTGTAACTATAATAGAATGCTGTAGATGGGGTAATCTGTAAAAAACAGAAATTTCCTCACGGTTCTGGAGGCTTGGAGGTACCAGATCAAAGTGCTGGCATCTGGTGTCTGGTAGGGCCCTTCTTGCTGCGTCCTCATATGGTAGAAGGCAGAAGGCCAAGAGAGGAATGAACCCGTAGCCTCACATGGCAGAAGAGAGAGAATCTACTTCTACCAGCCCCTTTTATAGCTTGATCCATTTATAAGGGCAGAATCTCTTGACCTAAACACCACCTGTTAGGCCATACCTCCTAGCACTGTGGCATTGGGGATTTTTACAATACATGAGTTTTGTAGGTAACAAAACCGTTCAAACCATAGTAGCCATCAAATGGAGCTTTGCATATGTTCCCTGTGAAAATCTCTAGTGGAGACAACATTAACTAGAAATGTGGAGCTCTTCCTTTAGAATCATTTTAGGGAACAAAGAATTTGCCTTTCGCCTTTCCTAAGGTAATGAAAGATGGGGTTCTGTAACCTGGTTTTCCCACCGATACATTGTTAGGGGCAGCTGCAGCTGGCCTGTGTTTGGTCTGGTTTTTGTGACTAGTGAGAAAGGAGCAAGTGAAGCTTTCATCCAGTTGTCTGCAGGAAATGGTGTAGGAGTGGGAACAGTTCACTCTCAGCAAAGCTGGATGCATCTTTTTTGTGGCGAGATTTCTCTTAGCATCATTCAGGCAAATAAGTTTTTTTCCTTTTTATATCACAGTGTAGGATCCTGGCTTGGTATTTGACTAGTGAACTTTTTGGAGGTCTGTTTAAATGCAGCTTAGAATGAACAAGTGAAACATTCCATAAACCCAGAGGCTTAGACCAGAACAACGGCTCAACATGTTCTCTCTCACACAGAGCACCAGCCTCCATACATCATTGCAGTGTTGCCTCGTTATGTGGAGATCCGAACATTTGAGCCGAGGCTTCTGGTCCAGAGCATTGAATTACAAAGGCCCCGTTTCATTACCTCAGGAGGGTAAGGAATTTTTTCTTTACTGTGACTGCCAAATTATTCCAAAGCTTTCAAATCACCCTTATCATCATGAAGCCTGTGGTCTTTTGCTAATATTCTTACTCTTGCCTCTAGATCAAACATCATTTATGTGGCCAGCAATCATTTTGTTTGGAGACTCATTCCTGTCCCCATGGCAACCCAAATCCAGCAGCTTCTCCAGGATAAGCAGTTTGAATTGGCTCTGCAGCTCGCCGTAAGTCTTGTTCCTGAGATTTGGGAGTAGTCTACCTAACCTCATTATTCTCAAAAGTAGGTGATTTTGGTTTAGATGTTCATGTTTGGGTTAGCAGAATAAGCACAGAGCTGAAAGTCAGGGGGCTTGGTGTCAGGGTATGACTCTACCATAAAATATCTGTGTAACTCTAATTTCACTATTCTTATCTTTCAAAAGTAAAAGGAATGCTTGATGTAATACCAGTACCTTCTAGAATTAATGGGAATATTGAAAAGTTCAAGACAATGCAAAATCAAAGTATAGTAACAGTTATAAAGTGATATTATAGTCTAGTTGAATGCAACAACTAGAAGACCCCTCAATTCCTTTCAACAGTAGATTTCTGTGTTTCGATAAGTAGACCTTCATTAGACATTCTGAAACCACCTCATGTTGTTGCATTCAACCGGGATGCAGTTTCATGTCTATGATTGTTACTTACTTTGATGTTTGCTTAGGATGCTGTTCATAGCAAAGCACTGACCATGCTCTTGTTTGTTCCAGTGCTACACCCATTGCCAAAATCCATTTTGGAGCTTGACTTCAGAATCTGTGTCTTGTTTTTTTAAACATCTTCAGTGATTATTGTCATCTGTAGGGGATGGATTTGATTTCAGAAGACAATTAAAATCTTTTCTGAGCCTAACCTTGTAGTTAAACTAGACAGTGCTGTTTTAAAGCAGAGATTTTTATGAAGGTAGTGGTAATAAAATGGAATTCCTGGAGTATCCTATAAACTGTTTCTGAAAGAATGGCAATGACCACATTTTTTTGGAATAAATATTTTTAATCATCTATGGTGGCTATTTTTGAAGAACAAATGTTATTTTGAATATATAAGTTCTGGACTTAAAGCAAAAATCTAGACTTAACAGGTAAACATGGTTAATAGCCCATAAAGAGGATTGCCTTCTTGGGCCTTTAATTTCAGCATCTTACTATTTTTTATTTCCAGTCATGCATTGTCCTGAATTATTTCCACTTTTATTTTTAAAAATAATATAATGAATACTCATGAACTCACCATCCTACCCAAGAACCATAACTTTTATGACCTAGATGCTCCTTCCTGTCCCATCTCTCTGCCTCTCCTCCAGATGGAAATCATTATCTTAAATTTTGCATTTTCATGCCCTTAAAAATATTTTTTTGGTTAATCTTTTACAAATATATTTAATATACATGAATAATGTATTCACTTTTTGACCTTTATCAAAAGGATATGCAGTGTGTTATTCTTTTTAGTGCTCGTTTTTCTTAACAGGAAGCTCTTATAGTCTTCTCAGTGATCTGAGCTCAGGTTGTTTAATCTTTGGTAGAGAAGATGGAAGTGGGTTCCCATTTTGCCTTGTCTTTTCTAGGCTTTTACTTTCCATGTGCTCTGCCCTTCTTATGACAAAAGAAGGTTGACTGATAGTAGTCCTCCAGGAACTGGTTTTTTATTTTAAATAGGTAAGAGAACAGACACAGAACTTTCAGAGGGCAGGTACATGCTACATTTTGGCATTGTCAGAGAGGGACAAGTTCACTGTGGGCTAAAAAAGGCATCATAAGGTTGGATGCTTAAGTTGACCCTTTAAGAACAGGTAAGATGAGGGTCAGGAGCAGTAAACAGGGAGTGTTGAAGATCAAGAGGAAGTTAAAGAAGTGAAAACCAGTGTGGTGTATTTCTAGAACATTTGGAGCCCATCCTGACGGGAGCAAAATGTGTGGCTTAAGTGTTTGGGAATCAGCTAGATAAGGAGGCCTGCACCAGGTTTTGGAAGCCTCTGCAGTACCAAAAAGGAGAACTGATACCAAGTATAGCCACATGCTGACAATGGTCTGGACTAGGGTGATGGCAGTAGGAAAGGAAAGAAAGGGGGACAATTGAGAGACGTTTTGAAGGAAGAAATTAAATTTTTCTTTTCTTTTTTTTTGAGTTGGAGTCTCACTCTGTCACCCAGACTAGAGTGCAGTAGCACGCTCCCGGCCACCGCAGTCTCACCCTGCTGGGCTCCGGCGATCCTTCTGCCTCAGCCTTCCGAGTAGCTGGAACTACAGGCACATGCTACCATGCCTGGCTAATTTTTTTGATTTATTGTAGAGACGAGGTCTCACCAATTTGCCCAGGCAGGTCTCAAATCCGCAGGCTCAGGCAGTCCACTCACCTCGGCCTCCCAAAGTGCTGGGATTACAGAAATTAAATTTAATAACGTTTGGTTAAAAGGGATATTAGAAAAAAGTTTATGCCAAAGAAACAAAGCTGATAATAACTCCATTTATTTAGCTTTTTCTGTGAACAGGACCCTTTCCAACTGTGCTGGCTGTGCCAGATGTTGTTCATGTCTTGAGCATACTGTGTTCCCTCTATCCTTTTAGGGTCATATACATGCTGTCCCCTTGGCCAGGGAGCACACACTTCTCTTACCTCCCTTCTGCCACCTGCTCAGTCCTGCCTGTCTAACTCCAACTCATCTTTTATGTCTCAGTTTAGATTCCTCTTGGAATCTGTCCTCAGACTGGATTGGGGACCCCTCCCACATACTTGTCATCACTGTTACCCTGTTTTGTTTTAATTTTTTTTTTTTTGAGCTGGAGTCTCACTCTGTCGCCCAGACTGGAGTGCAGTGGCCGCTCCCGGCCACCGCAGCCTCAACCTGCTGGGTGCCGGCGATCCTTCCACCTCAGCCTTCCAAGTAGCTGAAACTACAGGCGCGCGCTACCACGCCCGGCTAATTTTTTGATTTATTGCAGAAATGAGGTCTCGCCAGCCCAGGCAGGTCTTGAACCTGCAGGCTCAGGCAATCCACTCACCTCAGCCTCCCAAAGGCGCAGGATTACAGGCTGAGCCACTGAGCCTGGCTAATTTTTTGTTTTTAAACTAAACTAGACCTTATTCAGATTTGACCAGTTTTCCTATTAATGACCTTTTTTCTGTTCCAGAATCAAATCCATGAATCAATGTTGTATTTAGTTGTTCTGTGTCCTTAGTGTCCTTTGGTCTGTGACATTTTCTTTGTCTTTTCTTGTTTTTCATGACCATTACAGTTTCCAGAAATACTGGTTAGGCATTTCATGGAAACCCTGTTTTGTTTTAATTGCATAGTTACTTAGCAGTCTCACGGTTAGACGGTAAGGGCAGTCTACAAGGCAGATACTATGTGGCTGTGTGGTTCACTTTGGCATCTGTAGCTCCTAGGATCTTGTCTAACACCTGGAATGTACTCAATAAATATTTGTTGAGTAAGTGAACTCTTACCTATTCTACTCTCATTAGGAAATGAAAGATGATTCCGACAGTGAAAAGCAGCAACAAATCCATCATATCAAGAATTTGTATGCCTTCAACCTCTTCTGCCAGAAGCGTTTTGATGAGTCCATGCAGGTCTTTGCTAAGCTTGGCACAGGTAATAAGCAGTGTGGCCTTAGGATAAGGAACTAATATGGGGGGTACCCTGGAAAGGATGAGGAGGGATGATAGCAGTCTTTGAGAATGGGAACAGTTTATACTCAGCTAAGTTGATCCTCATACCTAGCAAGATCCTGTGGGTGGCTATAGTGGTTACATATTTATATAAACCATATTTATATGAACTTGATCTTACCAATAAATATAGACGTCCAAGTGTCCAGGATTTTTTGCCATCGCCATTAGAGAATGGTGACAGAAAGTTATTCTGTTCAATAAATGGGTATTTGACTAGCTAGTGTTTTTATTAAGAATGTAACAGCCAGGCTTGGTGGCTCAGCCTGTAATCCCGGCCTTTGGGAGGCTGAGGTGAGTGGATTGCCTGAGCCCGTGGGTTTGAGACCCGTCTGGGCAGGCGAGACCTCATCTCTACAATAAATCAAAAAATTAGCCGGGTGTGGTAGCGCGATCCTGTAGTTCCAGCTACTTGGAAGGCTGAGGTGGAAGGATCACCAGAGCCCAGCAGGTCGAGGCTGCGGTGGCTGGGAGCGTGCCACTGCACTCCAGTCTGGGCGACAGAGTGAGACTCCAACTCAAAAAAATAAAAAAATAAAAATAACAGAGGAAGCAGTAGTGGCAATTGCTAAAGAGGTAACTATGCCAATGCAGAACTGCCCAGCCTGTCCTGGCTACAAACTGATTACTGTCCAGCTTCCTGTTTCCAGTTTGAGGGCTTCCAGAGCTCCTTTTGTTCCCACCTATTCCTGTTGAATGATGTTCTAGACAAAAGTCCCTTTATTAAACCACAGGTCATTTTTGAAAGCCAACCCAGGGCAGTGCTGTAAAGCCCTTCCTTTTCTTAGTGTCCCAGAACCTCTAGACGTGAGCATAGTGGTGGGGAGCAGGTACCCTGGAGTACCTGGGCTTTCACTTCTCTTTTGCAAAAGAGAGATAATTCTGCTACTACTTACCTTATAATATTGCTGTGAAGATCATATGAAGTGCTTAGAACAGTGTTAGCACAAACACTTGTTTGGTGTTATTAGTATTAAGCTTTTCATTTCTGTATAGCCTATTTTTGCTTAATTTGGACCAATCTTTATATGCTTTGTTTGATTCTATATTATATTATTATTTCCTCTTTTCTCCTCTTTATTATTTTGCTTTTTTTCCTCCATCCCTCAACCTTGGCCAATAATGAACTGGGGTAACTCCCTGCATCAGTTAAGGTTCTTGGCTGTGAGCATTGGAAACCAGTTCTGGATTATTTAAGCAGAATCTGGATAAATTAAGCAGGATTTATTGAAATAATAAGGTGATGGCAACTTGAAGGACCCATAAAGTTGATGGGACACTAGGCTCAGGAATAGATGGGATTGAAAGGCACGCTGGAGGCCATCCAAGCTGGAAACAGGAAGCCTGGACAGTCATCAGTTTGTAGCCAGGACAGGCCTGGCAGTCCTGCCCTGGTTTAGCCATCCTCTTAGCAGTTGTCACTACCATTTCCCCTGTTGTTGCATCCTTAATACAAATTGTCCCTTACTAGCATATTAGCTATCTAATTCGTAACAAAATACCCCAAAATTCTGTGGCTTAAGGTAACAATAGTTATCTGTTTCTCTTAGTACCTGTTGGTCAGGCATTTGGGAAGAGTTCAGGTGGGCAGTTCTTGCTTCATGTCTCTCATATGGTTGCAGTTTTATGTTGATTGGGCTACTGGAGGATTCCCTTCCAAGCTTGCTCACTTGCATGGCGGACAAGTTGTGCTGACTGGGAGTTGGGGGCCTAAGTCCTTATCCGTGTGGGTCTTTTCACAGAGCTCCCTGAGTGGCCTCATACATAGCAGCTGGCTCTTCCCAGAAGGAAAAAAATCCAAGAGACCTAAATTGGAAGCCTCAGTGCCTGTTTTGACTGTCATTTCTGCTGTATTCTGTTGATTTTCAGGGGTCCTGGCAGGTTCAGGGCAAGGAAATACAAACTGCATTTCTTGATGGAGGAGTGTCATGTTACCTAAGAGGAACGTGTAGGATGGGATATATGTTGGTGTGGACCATACTGCTTGTCATCTTTGGATCACTTTCTCAAGGTCAAGGGGATCTGATCAATCAGGATTAGGTTATGGTCCCCCTCCCTGACTCTAGCAGAGGTGAGGAAAGAGGTCTGGCCCCCTTCTGCTTCTAAAAGGCAAAGGTAGGTGCCTAGAGCTAGCCTTCCACTAAGACTATACAGAGTCTGGAAGAGGGAGCTCACCAAAAGGAAGTAGGTTGCTCCTAAGAAGGGAGATGGGAGCTGGACTGCCTGAAATTGATCAACGTCTGCCATCCTTTCTCCAAATGAACTTAACTGGGGTGTTATTTTCAGCATACCACCAGCTCTTTGGGAAGACAGTGGAATAGTAAGATAGAACTGCTGTAGTAATTTGACCCTTTTTCCATGTACCAACAATACTCGAACCTCAATCCTAAAACTTTAAAGCCAATCCTAATGAAGCTACTGCCTTTTAATTTATTTATTCCCCAAATATATACTGAGGTATTTTAGAGTACAGTACACTGTGCTGTGCTCCGAGCAACAATAACCAGATAGGAATTCTTTCAAAGAACAGTCTGTTGAGGAAGATAAGGCACAAGTGGACCCTTTCTGGCAGCAGGAAAATGTGTGCTGGTGGCAGTGTTGTCTAAGGGGCAGCTGGCTATTGATTGAACTTCTCAGGCAGTGCCTCTGTTGACCTCAGTCTAAGGTCTGGTCCTCAGATCCAAAGTGAATAATTTTAGTACATCCAGAGATCATTCATAACAGGCTGACCTCATCCAAAATCCCATGGGTATCCCTTTTATTTATTTACAATAATAAATAGGGAGGCTAGATCCTTCCTGGTGACCAGAATAATCATATAGGACACCTTTTTTATATATACTAAGGTCCAGGCATTTTTGCTATAATGCTTTGTATGTGGTCCTGTAAAACCTTACATCCTAAAACAAATGCTCACTAAAAATGACAGAGCTTATCGGAAAACTAAGCTTGGAGCAGACCTCTCAAAGTCTATGTGACTTAGTAAGTATAGCACTAATAAAAATAATATAATTCTACTAAAATTACATTCCCACTGCATTTTGTATCTAGCATAATAGTCCTTTGCAGTCCTGGGGCTATGCTTTCTCCTTTGAGTTGTGGTTCTAATAGAAACCAGTTTCATCAAAACAAAAAATATGATGCTGGACAAAGACTCCTTTATGAGACAAAAGATTAATATTGGGGGGAGACATCTTTGCTTCATTTGTATGCTCAGCTTCTCCAGATGACTTAACTTAATAGACAGGATAGTGGTTCTTAAAGCTACTTGCTCTAAAGGAAGGTATTTCTGTAGGATTTTCAACTCTTTTCTTTAGGTCTTTGTGTGTAGTTAAGGCTTTCTCTCTCTCCCTCTCTTTTTTTTTTTTGAGTTGGAGTCTCACTGTCACCCAGGCTGGAGTGCAGTGGCATACTCACAGCCACTGCAGCCTTGACCTACTGGGTTCAGGTGATTCATCTGCCTCAGCCTTTCAAGTAGCTGGAACTATAGGCATGCACCACTATCCCAGCTAGTTTTTTGATTTATTGTAGAGATGAGGTCTCACCAAGTTGCCCAGGCTGGTCTCAAACTCGTGGGCTCAGGCAATCCTCTCACCTCAGCCTCCCAAAGTGCTGAGATTAGAGGCATGAGCCACCATGCCCGGCCAAGGCTTTCTCCTTCATTGCGAGGAAGCCTAGCCCTGGTTGCTTCAGAACATTAACAAGCTAGGGAAAATCTCACACAAACCACATGACTTTTGCCTAATGTAGACATATCCCCCCACCTATCAACTGCACATGAGCCAATTCACATGAAAGAAACTCAGGTTTTAAAACAGGGTATATCTGGGATGCCAAGTCAGGAGAGTGCTCTGTGAGCGCAGAACTGGAGCAAAAGGAAGTTGTACAGAGGCATGTTCATCTGAGTCAGAGGGAGGTCCCACTGCAGAGAATAGTCTCAAATGGGTGAAATATGGTATCTACCAAGCCCAGGCCCTTTCTTCCTAGTGCAGGATGGACTGGGCCCAGGTTTGCTTCCCTGTTCTTCCCTCATAGGAGTGTCACTGTCACTCATAGGAGTGTCACTCCTGTCATAGGAGTGTCACTGTCATAGTTACATTTCTACTTGTTATGAGTCAGGAAGAAACTCTGTCTCCTCCCATTGTGTTAATTTTATTATGTGAACCTGGGGGACATAAGGTCTGTGAGTGGGCTTTAGTAAGTCTATGAACCACCCTAAACTCAATGTAAAGTTTTGTTCAGATATGGATTTTTCTGTAGAAAGGATCAAAGCCTTTCATCAAACTAAGATATCTGAGACCCTAAAAATGTTTAAGAACCACTACTTTAGAGTTACTTCTCTGTGGCAACCTACAACTTATACATAAAAAGCTCTGATTCAAGGTAGGAAGGTAAGTGCTACAGCAGAAGGGCATGATGAGAAGACTCACTGCTTGAGGCCCTGAGAGTTAGGGATCTTGGTGGTCCAATGTGGGTGGTGTGGAATGGCAAGAGTATGAGTGAGAGAGTTCTTACATTTCTTGAAACCCATACAGATACTCTGTCCATTATCTACCCATTTATTCTTTCACTCAACAAATGTGTATCAAGTGTCTACATATACTGAAGATGATTCTAAGTGCCAAGTAGTGGGTCTTATATTTTGATGGGTAGGGAGCAGATGACAAAATAAATAAAGTTATAATATGTTGGGAATTGATAAGTGCTAAGAAAAATAAAGCAGGGGAAAGGGGATCAGGAGTAGTGAAGGTGGGAGTCAGGATTATAATTTAAGATATAATGGTTAAGGAAGGCATCGCTGAGAAGGGAGCATTTCAGTTACAACCTGAAGTAGGTGATCCAATGAGCCTTGCAGATTCTGGGAAAGAGTTTTCCAGGCAGAGATAACAGCTAGTACAAATGTGGTGAGGTGGGAAGGATTCCTGGTATATTCAGGAAACTGCCAGATCAGTGTGGCCAAAGCCACACTGTAGGTATGTATCCTTTGTTTTGCATGGGGGGTATCATTTCATCGTTAGTCATATGTCTGTTTTGTGCTGGTTTCTACATGTGGCATAATCCTGGGCTTAGAACCTATTGCCTCCAAGGCAAATCAGGTGTACTCATTGCTAGCTCTTCCTTCGGTCCTGGGCTTCAGGAATGAGTAAGACGTTATAGGTCCACAGAGAACTCACCTATAAAACCACTCAGTGAACCATTAGGATAATTGTGAAAAAGTTCTCCAGGGGCATCGGGAAGTGAGGAAGTCTTCCAGGAGTAAGGGAGAGAGGAGGTGAACCGGGCCCTGAGGAATGAGAAGGAAAGTGGAGCATAAAGAAAGGCTTAGAGGCAGGGAACTCACATCCCATGTCTGAGAACCTGTGAAACCAGAGCCAGTGTGAAGGTAACCCAAGAAAGATAGGTTAGAGCTAGATTTCAAAGGACTTTGAATGCCATGGAGGAGGCTGGACTTTGTTTAATAGGCCTCACATGGCAACACATTTTAAGTAGAACAATGTAATTAGATCCTTGTTTATAGACATGAACCTCGGGGGCAGGAGGCAAATGAGGCCTCAGCGAGGCCATGTGTTCACTTGATTTCCCATCAGCTGTCTTCTTCCCTCAAGTTGTGCTTCCATGCCGCCCTCCCCTGCAGAGCTGCTAGCCGTCCTGTCTACCCGTTCCTTCTTGGGAAGGTTTTTTTCATATCATGATTCTCTGATCCTGAGAAACAGGGTCTCCCTGGCTGGGCAGAAATATGTTGCCAGAGCCGGGCTCGGTGGCTCAGCGTGTAATCCCACGCTTTGGGAGGCTGAGGTGACTGGATTGCCTGAGCCCGCGGGTTCGAGACCCGCCTGCGCAACTTGGCGAGACCTCATCTCTACAGTAAATCAAATAATTAGCCAGGTGTGGTAGCACGCTCCTGTAGTTCAGCTACTTGGAAGGCTGAGGCGGAAGGACCGCTGGAGCCCAGCAGGTCGAGGCTGCAGTGGCCGGGAGCTGCCGCTGCACTCCAGTCTGGGCGACAGAGTGAGACTCTTTAACTCAAAAAAAAAGAAAAAAGAAATATGTTGCCAGGCACGGGTGCCTTGGGGATAATGTGGGTCCTTTGTAGGATTTGTCTTCTGGTCAGCTTGCCAAGAACTCATTTACATTATGGAAAGGACGTGACCTTCCTCTACCCCACTCTGACACTTTTTTTAAAAAATGAAAATAAAGTAATGCTAGTACAAAAAAAGTTTGTAAAAATGTGAAGAAAAAAACTTTAAAAACTTAGATCCAGCCGGGCTCAGTGGCTCAGCCTGTAATCCCGCACTTTGGGAGGCTGAGGTGAGTGGATTGCCTGAGCCCATGGGCTCAAGACCTGCCTGGGCAACTTGGTGAGACCTCATCTCTACAGTAAATCAAAAAATCAGCCGGGCGTGGTAGCGCGCGCCTGTAGTTCCGGCTACTTGGAAGGCTGAGGCGGAAGGATTGCTGGAGCCCAGCAGGTCAAGACTGTGGTGGCCAGGAGCGTGCCACTGCACTCCAGTCTGGGCGACAGAGTGAGACTCCAACTCAAAAAAAAAAAAAAGAAAAAAGAAAAGAAAAACTTAGATCCAACCTTAACTCTCATTTCATCTCTTCCTCATTCAAACTTTTTTTTACATGTATATATTTTAACAAAATTATGATCACAGTTTCATAGCTTTTGTTGTTTAAAATTGTTATAGCATTTTTCTGTGTTGCTGTGTGGTCTTCCTAGTTATAATTTGTAATTTCATAATACTCTTACTATTTGAGTTAAATATACTTTATTCTGCTAAAGGAATTCTGCATTATTTCAAGTTATATTGTTACAAACCATGCTTTATATATCTCTTCATACATATTATGGGACTCACCCCCATCATTTGGGATATCTTCTTAGGAGAAATTTCTAGAAGTAAGATTAGTAGGTTCAAGTACTTTGTTCCTTACTGAGGTAGCAATATTCATTGCCGCAGCAGTGCAAGAGTGATTTGTTTTCACAATTTTCAACCACTGGGGGGTATTGTATAAAAATAACTGTTTTGCTAATTAGGTGGACATAAAATGTCACATCTTATGGTATATGCATACAATAGAATATTATTCAGACATGAATAATTTTGATAATATTATTCAGACATGAATGAAATTTTGGCATATGCTGCAACATGAATGAAGCTTGAAGACATTATGCTAAGTGAAACAAGTCAGACACAGAAGGACTAATACTGTGTGATTCCACTTATATGAGGTACCTGGTGAGGCAAATTCATGGAGACCACACATAGAGTAGAGGGCTAGAGGGAGGGTGGAGAGTGATTGTTGATTATTGGATACAGAGTATCAGTTTGGGATGATGGAAAAGTTCTGAAGGTGGATGGTAGTGACGGTGGCACAACAATGTGAATGTTATTTAATGTCACTGAATTGTAGACTTACCAGTAGTTAAAATAATACATATTATGTGGTGTGTATTTTACCACATACGCACAAATGGGTAGATGAGTTGCAGGCACAGAAGACAGATCTGCTATTGCACACTGATTTCCTGGGCACATCCCTGTGATCCAGAGGTCAGCAAGTTGCTGCTGCTTCCATTCCCCAAGCCCTGCAGCAACCTCTGTTCCCATGGAGCTGGTGACGAGATGTTGACTGCTGCATGTGGGCATGTGCCTCTAGATAAGGACAACTGAGAACTAGACACTGGAACCCCGAGTCTGCCTGCAAACACTCATGAGCTGGCAGCTCAGTATAAAGAGGGAATCTTCTATCTCACTTCAATTTCCAGTCTCACACCCATGCTTCTCATTAGTGGAACCACATTCTCACCCAAAACCCTGACTACCAGGAAGTTTGAGAAAAGTAGTTTTCAGTTTTATAGCCCCTGTGGCCAGGAAAGAACACTTGAAAAGAACAGAAATGGGTGCTAAGTGCCAGTTGGCAACAAACAACACAGTGTTCCACAGGATTGATGTACTACGTGTTATTTAACCAGTCTTCAGTGGCAGTGGAGGGATGTAACAGCATTTTGCTGTTACAAACATCTGTGAGGATACTGTAATGGAAATCACCTCCTTGATATTTTTAATGTATACCACTTTGATTCTTTTTTTTTTTTGAGTTGGAGTCTCACTCTGTCACCCAGACTGGAGTGCAGTGGCCGCTCCCGGCCACCGCAGCCTCGACCTGCTGGGCTCTGGCGATCCTTCCGCCTCAGCCTTCCAAGTAGCCAGAATTGCAGGCACACGCTACCACGCCCAGCTGATTTTTTGATTTATTGTAGAGATGAGGTCTCGCTGCCCAGGCTGGTCTCGAACCTGCGGGCTCAGGCAATCCACTCACCTCAGCCTCCCAAAGGCGCGGGATTATAGGCTGAGCCACTGAGCCCGGCTCCACTTTGATTCTTAATGTAGCAGAATATTTTCCCACTTATTTATATTCTTTTCAATTGTTCTTTTACCCATTTCTCAAATGAAATATTATATTTCAATACTAATTTCTGTGAATTTGTTGTATATAATCAACATATTATTCTTGTGCCATATATACTGCAAATATGTTTCCTAGCCTGTTGTTCTGGGGGGTTTTTTTGATTTTTGTTTTTTTAGTAATTTTCCTTTTTGACCTATAAAATTTTTGTTACGTCTCTTGATCTTTTTCATTTCACTGTCACCATTTTTCCTTGGAAATTTTTTATCCTCTACTTTCAGAGAGTTGACAGATATTCATTTCTAATTCTGTGTATGTGTCTGTGTCTTGCAATATAAAGTCATGCCATTTTCTTAACATTTTAGTGAAAGAAAGATATATAAAGTGCTCACATTCTAAGTATATATAGCTTATTGAGTTTTCATGAACTTAGAGTCATTCCTTTTTTAAAAAGTTAGTCTGGAACTTATTTTGCTATAAGTAATAGTCTTGTTTTATTTTATTCTTAAATTGCTGGGCTCCTTTCCTGAGGAATCATGTTTACCTTCCATGTAGATCCCACCCACGTGATGGGCCTGTACCCCGACCTGCTGCCCACAGACTACAGGAAGCAGTTACAGTATCCTAATCCGTTGCCTGTGCTGTCCGGGGCTGAACTGGAGAAGGCTCACTTAGCTCTGATTGACTACCTGACGCAGGTGTGTATAGTATGGAGGATACACCAGAGTTTACATGGAAGTTCTAGTACTTGTTTGTCTATACCAGGGATTGAGGGCCTTCTATAATGTCATAGGCATCCCACAAGTGAGTGCATAAAAAGCCTGGGTGGGGCATAGTTTCTTTCTGCTGCTTCTCCCAACTTAACAGAACCATTGAGCTGGGTTTTTTGCCACATATGGTTACCAGGAAACATACCAAAATGTAAGTAACCAACATTTTAATGTTGTTCTTCTAGACCTTTATGTTTATTTATGAATTAGCTTTATTTATTTATTGGTTTCTTTATACAAATGGATATCAAACTGTCTATTCTGTTTCACAGCTTTTTAAAAATTTAGTCATATATTGGGAAAGACCTTCCTCCTCCATAAATATTCCTTAACATGTTTTTTGCAGAGGTATTAGATTTCAATTTCTTTCAATTTACTATTAGGACAGAATAGTGAAATTTTAAAGCCAACACTAAAACTAGTATCTCCATTAAAGCCCCTTAATCCCAGATTTATGGCACAGAAGACCATTGTTTATTTTCTGTGCATGCATTCAGAACTTATTAATATTTTTCCTCTTAAGTGTTCTGCCTTTGTAAGGTATCTTCGGGTAGGCACTGAAATGTATTGCTGGAAAGATTGTAATGCCACTTTCTATTCCCTGCTTCTGGATCAGTTAGTGCACGCAGGTCTGGTCAAACATGGGTTGCCTTGGCACATCCTTGACATAGGACTCCAGGGCTATCCAGCTATGACTGGCAGCCTGCAAGAAGTATACACACTTGCCCCTGCCTGTACCCTACACAGCCCTGTGTCGAGTAAAAAAGATTCCTGGGCATAATGTCTCCCAAAGCCTGTGCCATTATGGAGGGCCCTCTGCTGCCCATGTCTTAGCTTTAGGAAGGTGAGTACAAATTCTTCCCTGGCCTTCTTCACCTTCTTCTGGTGCTGTGCCAGAGAGGTGGCAGAGCAAGACTATGGTTTTGCCAGACCTGAGAGAGTATTCGCTGGATGAAGTTCTAGGATAGGCAGAAACTAACCTCCAGCGAGAGAAAGCAGACCAGTGGGTGGGGTGGGTGGGATTGCTTGGAAAGTGCATAAAGGAATTTTCTCAGGTGATAGAAATGTTCTGTTCCTTCATGTAGGTGATGGTTACATGCATGTATACATCTATCAAAATGCACCTAACAGTATACTTTAAAAGAGTACATTTATTGTATGTAAATTTTACCTCAATAAAGTTGATTTTTAAAAAATTTAAAAAACATGGACTTTGGAATCAGGCTCCAGTTTGAATCCTGTCTCTGCTACCTAGGAAGTATCTAACATCTGTGCCTTGGGTTCCTTACTTGGAAAATGGGGATAGTAATACCTGCATTTGTTTTAGGTTTAAAGTATACAAGCTGGAGAAGGCTCACTTAGCTCTGACTGTGCTTGGCACAGTGCCTGATGAGTAGTAATCATTCAACAAATAATTATAATATTGTTATTGTCTCTGGCAATTTGGCAGTCAATGACTTTGATCCCTAATAAAAATTAAGTGCTAGTATGAGATCAAACTTGATAAGCATGAGCTGATTTGGAAGTATTCAGTTACCTGTAGCTTAGGTGACAAAGGAAGTCTTAATCCTGGCTTTGACCCCACAGTTTTGACCTTTGCAGAAACGAAGTCAATTGGTAAAGAAACTGAATGACTCTGATCACCAGTCTAGCACCTCCCCACTCATGGAAGGCACTCCCACCATCAAGTCCAAGAAGAAGCTCCTGCAAATCATTGACACTACCCTGCTCAAGTGCTACCTCCATGTGAGTTATCTGAGCACTCTGGTGCCCACAGGCCCCCATTGTCCTCAAACTCTGGGGGAACTCCCACTAGTAAGAGTAGAATCTTTAATGCTAGGAACTACTTAGTCTTTATATGATATCTGTGAGTCTCTTGAACTAAGAGGATAAGGCATGATGTCAACCCAGAATTATACAGTGGGCTCTTCTCTGGTCAGATTGGGGTTAGTGCCACAAGGCCAACAGGGACAGTATTTCCTCAAGGAAGATATCTCCCTGTTCTCCCCCTCTCCAGAATATTAAAACATTTTATTTGAAAGGGTATAAGTACTCTAAAAGCCACTACCTGCCATCCTGAAAAAGGGCTACTTGCTTTCTCTTGTTTGCGTGAGCAGGCCTGGGCTAGGGAAGGGCGAGGCTCCCCAGGAAGCCAGTTTCTGCTGAAGTCCTGCTCCCCCTGCAGACAAATGTGGCCCTGGTGGCCCCCTTGCTGCGCCTGGAGAACAATCACTGCCACATCGAGGAGAGCGAGCATGTGCTGAAGAAGGCTCACAAGTACAGTGAGCTGATCATCCTGTATGAGAAGAAGGGACTCCATGAGAAAGGTGACTGCAGGAGGCGTTCCTGGCTCTGGGAGGGGTTCCTGTATATGGGTGGAGAAACCTGCTGAGGGGCAATACGTCTCCCCCAGAGGAAGAGGCTTATGACCTTGTCCTCGGGCTTTGTGGCCAGCTCTGCAGGTGCTGGTGGACCAGTCCAAGAAAGCAAACTCCCCTCTCAAAGGCCACGAGAGGACAGTGCAGTATCTGCAACATCTGGGTAAGTCTGACTTTGAAAGCGGGGAAGCTCTTGGTCTCCCTCCCTTTCTGATTCTGGCTGATCACGTTCCTCCCTCCTTTGTGTTCACTAAACTGCGTTTCTCCAGTTGGCATTAAAGTCCCTCAGTGGTCAAACCCCTTGATATGTAGCCAGCCCAATAGGGCCAAGTGCTGAGTGACTGGTGCTTGAGCAGAGCCGTCTTGTCTAGAAAATGACTTCTGGGGTGACCTGCCCACCTGCCTTCCCAGTGCCATGGGCTTCAACTGCTGACAAGCCTTACTTTTCTCTCTAGGCACAGAAAATCTGCATTTGATTTTTTCCTACTCAGTATGGGTGCTGAGAGACTTCCCAGAAGATGGCCTGAAGGTGGGTTATGGGAGTCCCTTGGATTTATCTGGTACTACAGTTGGTCCTGAGTGTCCCTGGGACAGCAGAGGGTAGAGAGGAGGATAGATTCATGCAGTTCCTTGGTGTTTGAAAGGGTGGACTGGGACATATGAGACAACAGTATAATGGTAGAAAGAACCTTGAGCAAGTGTCAAGGACGCTTGCCGCTTAGTCTGACACACTGACAGCCTACAGATGCCTTCTTATACATCCTTCCCCTCCAAAAGTCTGTCGGTTTGATCTCTACACTTGTATGTGTGTGTATTTGGTGGAATTCCGGTCGAGTGGTTCTGCTGCTGAAACTCAGGTTTGTTCTGACAGATATTTACTGAAGATCTCCCAGAGGTGGAGGCTCTGCCACGCGATCGAGTGCTCAGCTTCTTAATAGAGAATTTTAAAGGTCTGGCCGTTCCTTACTTGGTAAGATACTGTTTGGTCTGCACTTAAAAGCTATAAACCTAGGATCTAGGACTACATGGCTCAGTTACTGGGCGTTTTAGATTTGGGGTTTGTCACTTGGGGATTCATAGAACTGTAAGGAAGAGGGTTATTTCAGCTTCCTCTGAAGAAAAAGATCCTAGTAGACGAAGCTGGAAATGCTCCTTTAGTGATACCTACTACATTTAGGTAAAGTATAGAGGGATAAATGAATGGTGTTTCAGAAAAAGATTTTAAGGCCACATTTGTACAACCAAACTCAACTGTGACCACAGGACAAACACATAGGTTTTAAGTACTAGAATACAAATGTTTAAGCGGAATTACGTGGGCTGATAGAAGAGTTTGGATGATTATGGGACAAAATTAATAAAAGGAGTTTAGACTGGAAATTGAGCAACAATTAATGGTATTGCTGGAGTGCATTGTGAAATTTTCCTGCGGTTTTAGAAGAGCTATCCCTTGGGAATCTCTGCAGCTTGATGAGGGGATAATCTGGATGGGATCTTTTGGGCCTTAAAAATGTGAGGGAGACTGGGAGACCAAGTCACAATGGGGAGGGTACCAGTGACAAAGACCTACATTTCGCCCCAGGAACATATTATCCATGTTTGGGAGGAGACGGGCTCTCGGTTCCACAACTGCCTGATCCAGCTGTACTGTGAGAAGGTGCAAGGTCTGATGAAGGAATATCTCCTATCCTTCCCTGCAGGTACAAATACTCACAGGAAACTGGTTGCCTCCAGGCCTTAGAGGCAGGCACAGAGCTGGGCATCATATGTGGTATGGGAAAGGAGGCCTCACTGTTGTCTGCTCAGGTGTGCAGGAAGTTCCTTAGAGGAGCCAGGGAGCCTGGCACACAAGACTCGGGAACTCTTTTCTGAGTCCGGGCATCTCTGAGTGACTCAGAGTTATCCCTAGGGGAGGGCAGAAGGAACACATCTGTCTGCACAGTAACAGATGTGCTGATAAGGAACAGGTTTTTATACCAGAGTATTTCTCAATTCAGCTTGTTTTTTTAACCTTAAGTTGATGTTTTGGGGCCATGTAGAGACCAAGAGCTAAAGAAGTCCTAGAAGCCACTGTGGAGGCCCTTTCTTATCATGTGGTAACATCATTAAATCAGCCCTTCATTATTCTTGATGACCCCACATTGCTGCATTTGGTTTCCCTTAAAGGCAAAACTCTAGTCCCTGCCGGAGAAGAAGAGGGTGAACTAGGAGAGTACCGGCAGAAGCTCCTCATGTTCTTGGAGATTTCCAGCTACTATGATCCAGGACGACTCATCTGTGATTTTCCTTTTGATGGTGAGTATCTGACTTAGGGCTAGAAGCCACTTCAGCTGAAAGTAATGCAAAAACAGATCTGCTCCTTTTCTGGTTCTCCGCCTCTCCGCAAAATTAGGTCTGGGAAAAATCAGGTGTTTCAGGCCAGTGTGCCTGCTTTGTCCCCTCTGAAAACTCACTTTTGTACTGTGACTGAGAGAAGTCTCTCTTCTGGGTGTGGACCATGTGCTAATTGACAGCCAGGTTGCAACCTGTTTACTGCTTCAGAACATGTTCTTGGCCAGGTTCATTGTTTAGCAATTTTTGTAATCTGGTATCATTTGTCTGTAAAAAATATTTCTCTGATGTATTAGCTGCATGAGAGCTGAGACCAGGTGTTTGTTCCCCATACCTGAAGTGCCCAGCATGATGTAAATGGTTATTATGCCCTTGGCTGTTGAATGAGTGTTCTTACCCAGTTTATAAGTGTTCACAAGAAAGATGGAATAAAGTACTTCCTAATATAGCTCTGTCCCCCCCTTTTAAAATTGTAGAAATTTTCTCCTTGGAAAAAAAACCCAGGCAATAAAAATATTTTCTTCCATTTTATGTTGCCTCAAAGTCCATTCCTCTAGTAGTTTAGTCCCTGACCTTGTGCTTGCATAAGGGTGGTGACAATTACTTACATAATTTTTTCCTTCTAGGCCTCTTAGAGGAACGAGCTCTCCTGTTGGGGCGTATGGGGAAACACGAACAAGCACTCTTCATTTATGTCCACATCTTGAAGGATACAAGAATGGCTGAGGAGTAAGTTGGCCCCCTCCTCAGGAGTCTAAAAGTAGGCCCTTGGCTGAGTGCAGTGGCTTATACCTGTAATCCCAGCACTTTGGGAGTCTGAGGTGGGAGGATTGCTGGAGACCTGGAGTTTGAGACCAGCCTAGGCAACATAGCGAGACCTTATCTCTACAAAAAAATCAAAACAATTAGCCAGGCATGGTGGTGCACGCCTGTAGTCCTGACTACTAGAGAGGCTGAGGCAGAGGGTTGCCTGAGCTCAGGAGGTTGAAGCTACAGTGAGCTGTGATCATGCCACAGCACTCCAGCCTGGATAACAGAGTGAGACCCCTTACTCAATAATTTAAAAATAAATAAAATAAAAGCAGGCCCCAAGAGAGCTAAAAAGCTAAGAAGGCCATCTCCCCACACTGCAGGAGTGAGAATTGTCTCCCAACCTGGCCTCTGGTTTTGGCTACCACCAGGCTGCTCAAGCAGGCTGCATAGATGGCTCCTAATGTAGCTGCAGCCCCCTTGCCTGCTCTCACCACTTTCTCCCTTGCAGGTACTGCCACAAACACTATGACCAAAACAAAGACGGCAATAAAGATGTGAGTAGTGGCCTTGGCCCAGGGATCACGTGTGCATTTCTCTGCTCCTTTAGCATACCCTACCCCATCCGGTGTGGTCACAGGTGGCACTGGTATGAACTGCAAAGTAAGACAAGGCATGGGTCAGGGCATTGATTGATTTTGCATGTGAGTATTGAGGGAGAGGCAAGGCAACCATTCATCTTGATGTGCCTGTGCTAGTTCTGCCTTATATCTTTGGTTGTCCCTGTGGTTATTAATAGCACTCTTGTCTGTTTACTTTCAAGAAGCCTGATTTGTATAATAAGTTATGTGGTCAGCCTACTATTGAGAAGGAACATCTGAAAGTTCTGATCTACTGTGTCTGGAATACACATTGATTTGTCAATGTCTAGAGACATTTTTGTTTGCCATTACTTGGGGTAGGTTTGCTGCTAGAATCTTGAGGGTAAAACCAGAGATGATGCTAAATGCTGCACGGGATACCCCCAACAACAGTAAATTATCCAGCCCAAAATGTTAAGAGTGCTGAGGTTGAGGAACCCTGTGGTATCAGTACTATTAGAATATGCATCATCTTATCTTGGGTTAATGCCCACCTGCCAAAATGTAGACATAGTTTTAGCTTTCAAAGCCATAGGAAAGAAAGAATCTTTTTGAGTTATTTTACAGTGTTAACATTTTGTAAGTGGTATAATGCTAAAGAAATACAAGGCATTTGGTTTTTTCTCTCAGGGAAAAAAGGATCCTTAATTAACATCTTCAGTTGGCTGTTTGACTTTACCAAATTTTAAAAGGTGAAAGTGATGAGTTTTAAATGCTTCATGACAGCTATTACTATACACTAACACTTCTAATCTTTAGGCTCATTGCTGGGGGGACCTGGGAGGGTTGCTGCCAGCCTAACGTGTATGGCTCGTATCTGTATGAGACAGGTATATCTGTCCCTGCTCCGGATGTACCTGTCACCCCCCAGCATTCACTGCCTGGGACCAATCAAGCTGGAACTGCTGGAGCCACAAGCCAACCTCCAAGCTGCCCTGCAGGTCCTTGAACTGCACCACAGCAAACTGGATACCACCAAGGTCAGCAGTTCTTCTTGGGGAGGTGGAGGACATTTGCAGGAAGCACCAAATGAGAAGAGGAAATGCAGAGAGGGACCAGGGCCTGAGAACTTTGAGGATTCAGATGTTTCCTTGGTCTCCTGCTCCACCTCACCCTGTCCCATTTCTGTTCCTATTCCTAGGCCCTCAATCTTCTGCCAGCAAACACTCAGATCAATGATATACGCATCTTTCTGGAAAAGGTCTTAGAAGAAAATGCACAAAAGAAACGGTTCAATCAAGTGCTCAAGAACCTTCTCCATGCAGAGTTCCTGAGGGTATGGACCTTCCAAACTCTAGGGTGGCTGTTATTTTTAAGTATACGAGATAGTGTGCACATGTTTCATTTCAGCCGAGGCAGAACTTTGTGTTCCTGCACGGTGTAGCTCAAACTGATTCAGTAGCTAGCTTAACATTTAGTTGCCAGTGTTTCAAGAAGAATCTGTGGAGGCTGAGAGGAATAGTGCCAACCTTTGCCTTCTGTTTCTACATGCCAGACCTTGTTCTCTGTTCTTCCAGGTCCAGGAAGAACGGATTTTACACCAGCAGGTAAAGTGCATCATCACAGAGGAGAAGGTGTGCATGGTGTGTAAGAAGAAGATTGGGAACAGGTGAGCCTCCCCCACACCTGAGTGACAGCTGAGGTCTGTTGAGGGTTCCTTAGGGTGGGGGTTGGGGAATGCTTGGGATGGATTTATGCCCTTTAACCAAGGAGGAAACATGACTGCTGGCTGTGTGGACTACTTTTAGCTCTTAAACCTTCAGAGAACCGTCTTTGCTCTCTGGTGTGGTGAGTTTTGAAAATATAAAGACCTGAAATGCGTGGCATGGGCCTATTGGGCTCTTCCCCTCCAGTAACTAGAAGTGATGATGTAGCCAGTGGATGTGTAAAAGATGTATGGGGGCAGAAAGTTCTTATTTTTTAAGGATTAGCTTCTGAAGGAAGAAAAAGATCTTTCAAGCTGCTACCTCACGACTTAAGTAAAATCCTGAGCCAGGCTTATACTATGTTCAGATACATACACTGTAGTCAGTGTCTTTCCTTCAAAGGAGAGTGATTTGTTCTTTTGTAAGTATAGCTGGGAGGATCCTTTTCTTTAGAAAAACATAACTGTTCTTTGTTGGAATTGGCCTGAAACTTGTTCTTATGAGCTTGTCAGCTCTCAGTGAGCCAGCTTAGCCCAGGCTTGTATGCTACCTGCCCATCTGCCATGTGTTTTGTGTTGAAGACTTCATGAAAAATATTACTGTGCCCTCTAACTCTGTGCGCTTCATCCTCATCCTCTTCGGTTATTTGACAGGGATGGCAGCTATAAAAATCTAGAGACTCTGAGGGCAGGCTATTCTTGGAGGGTTGGACGGGCTGCTCTTGGGATGGCTCACTGGTAGGTGCCTCTTCTGAAGAAGGTGCCACTACCAGAGAAGTTGGATCTTAGAGGCAATCCTCACTCCCAAGCCATTTTCCTTTCTTGCAGTGCATTTGCAAGATACCCCAATGGAGTGGTTGTACACTACTTTTGTTCCAAAGAGGTAAACCCGGCTGATACCTGAGGACAGGATGACATCCCCGGGATTCAGCAAATGGACAGCTTGACCCTCCTGGAGAGGTGAAGGAGCACCTGGCCTTAGGAATCTGGGGCTGCTTCCACCAGGTGTCTCCCCATTTGGACACTGCTGGCTACTTTGCGTCCTGGAACATCTCTAAATTGCCAGCTTTTTAATAGGAAAAGAGATTAGTTATACCTTATGCCATTATGTTGTGGGCAAGTCCAGAGAATTCAGTGCCTGCTTGGACAGGAGGAGGTGCACCGTCTTGCCTTTGCATACCAGTCACCTGAATGAGGAACCTTGCTTGAGGCGAGTGTTTGTAACCATGGAGTTGTTTATCTAGGGTTTTTCTGTTAAGATAAGTGCACAACTTCACAAAGACCCCCTCAGTGTGGCTGTCTAGAACTATGACCGCATAGACCCAATGGCTCATTTTCTGTGTACTGCCAGTTGTGTCTCCATGGTAGCTGTGCCCTGTGTCCCCCAGTAGCTCCCCTGCTCCCCTGTTAGTTTTCAGTCTCCTTTTCTTTTTCCTAGTTTATCAGTTCCCCCACTGCTCCTCCCCAGGCTTTCCTTCCTGCTTCTCAACTGTGAGAGTGACTAATATTTAAACAAGATAAGATGAGAAGCAAGAGGAAGTCTCAGTTCCTAGGAATACATTGACGGTTGATCGTCAGGTATGTTGTAAATAGATCTTTTCTGGCCGTATACTTCATGCCTAGATGCCTGGGAGAGTACCATTCTCTGCCTAGGTCAGGGTCTGTGCACCTCCCCTTGGGCCAAGTATGACCGCAGCTCCTGAGGGTAGGCCAGCTCTGCCCAGGTATGTGATCTAGGCACACATCCCCACAGAGGCACCTACTCCTTCTTCACTCATAAGCTACTCGCACGGGTTGGCTTAGTGTTTGTAAGCAGAGTATTTTGGGCACCTTTCCTTTTTCCAGCCAGTTTTATTCACTTGCCTTACAGCTTGGCCTGGCCATTGTTCCCAGCTTTGTTTTGCAGTGGTTGGAGGATTGCGTCGGAATCATGTAGGGAGGTGGATCTCTGCTATATGCAGAGAATGAGCGGATCAATAGCTGACAGCGATGTGATGCCAGGTGTGCTTGTGAGGTGTTCAGGGACAACAGAAAGGACGCAGGAGGCAGGAACAGTGACATGTGGGTTTAAAAATAACTCACTGTCTAATCAGCTAAGCTCTGCAGGGACCCTGCCAGAGGTGTGCAGGCTAGAGTTTCCACCTCTGGAGGCTGTGGACATGGGGAGAGTGGTCCTGCATTTTGTCCTCCTTGGAGATTTTGCTGCCTTGAAGTCTTGTTGCCCCAGTGTCTTTAATGGTAGTGAGGTTGGGTGACACTGCCCAACACTGACAGTTTTAGTGGCCTGTCCTTCACATGCCATGGTCCCTTGTAAACAGTGGCACAGTGCTGTGTGACAGGCCAACTTGCTGGTGGCAAGTAGATGAGGCTCCCTGGGGGTCTGAAGAGACAGTGAGTGCTATAGGCACCATTCACAGACATGGAGGTTCTGCTCTGGTTGTGAGACCGGGCAGTGCTTCATGAGAGTTCCGTGGAGCAGTGTGTGGAGAGAGAAAAGTTCTGTCCCGATGGCCTATACCCATCCACAAGAAGCAGTGCAGCCCATGGTCCCTTCTATATTGACTTCCTCCAGGAACAGCAGGGAAGATCCAGGCCACCCTCTGCTGCACAGCAGGGACTTGCCCCATCGTGTGAGCCCTGCCCTCATGGTCTGCTGTGCTTGTCTTTTCTGTTCTCACAAACTATGTTTGAAGCAATAGAATAAAAATTGTGTGTTTTCTTTCCCACTTGGTGTACATACACAACCCCATTTTCCCAAACTCCATTCTTCCTTCCCTCTACTCTCCGCCCTCCACAGAGGTATGGAGACAGCTGGAGATGAAAGCTGTGCAATGAGGATTCATGAGATTCTTGACTGCTCCTCATAATAAACCTAATAAAACAAGAAACCAAGCTTATTTGGGTCTCTTATTTCCCCATTCCTGTGAAGTGTAATGAAAACAGCAAAGGATAATAATTTAGCAAAGAATTGGGAAGAAAAAGCCAATTATTCTAAGCCAATTAGTGACTAAGAAAAACGGTCAGTATACAAGTAACACTTTATATTGCGTATGTTTCACCCGCTGTGCCTTCCAGTACAGAGAGTGTGGCTCATGGCTGGTATGTTGGCATCACAGATACAGAACATTCCCCCATCACAGGGTTCTACTGGACACACTGGAACTCTGGAGGATCCGAGCATTTCCCCTTCACACAGGCCTAGTCCTCGTCCTGCAGCTCATGATGACTGGAAGGAATTGGGCCAGAGGAACCCGGAGGTATTAGTGGAGAAGTGTTGGTCCACTTCGGCAGCTCCAAAAAGGCAATTTGGTCCTTTTGTCTTGTGCTGCCTCCCCTCTACCTTAAGCTGTCTGTGGCCATCCGGAGTGTTCTGGGAATGAAAACATCTGGAATTAAGAGTCATGACTTTATTGTGCAGTAGGGCAGATGGCTTAGAGAAAGAATGTGGTACAGCCCAGAAAGCACCCCAATCTGTCAGGTGCCTGGATCCCAGCCTGGCTCTGTCACCAGCTAGCTCTGTGGCCTCCTTCTCTGAGCCTCAGGCTCCTCTGGTGTGAATCTATGGGTCCCTTACACACATTCACAGAACTCTCCAATAGGACTAGACTCCCTAAGACCCCAGCCCAGGTCTTGGCTTGACTTTACAGTCAGACTTAAGTAGAAACAGGCCCTTCTTTGGATCCTGGCAACTGGTGTCACATTCCCTTTTGTTCTGGGAGTTTCTTTCTGGTCTGAACTTCGCTGGTTGGTTCATTTTTGAGTTGAATCACCTTTATTTTGGATTTTTTTTTTTTTAACCCTGTGACTCTAGGCCTTGGCAAGAGAGTGATGACTGAATCTTAAGCAAGGGACAGAAATTGTCTCCCACATTTCACTGCTCCAGAGATCCTTATTGGAGACTGCCTATCTTGGCCATCTAGATGGTCATGGTTCACAGTAAAGAAGACCTCACACACCATCTGCAGCCTAAGGCCTACAGTGGTCAAAAGAGAACTCTAAATCCTGTATCTCTAGTAGCTAAAAGGCAGGCAGACCTGTTTTTCTCCCGTCCTTATTTATACCCCCAACTGTATTCCTGTCTCTGCATCTGTACACTGTACTGGGTACTCTATAGGCTGACCCAGGATGAGGGCCCAGGCAGAAGCCCCAGGTAGTCATGAGGCTGTGAATTTCTTCAGGATGTGGATGGGCCCGCCTCACCTTTGCGTTCCTGGGCTTAGTAAAGACCTGGCATGCATCAGGCTTTCAGTGTTTGGGGAATAAATGAGGGAGAGATTAGAAACATCTTTGAGTCCAGATGCAACACTGAACCAGAGCTCTCCATGCTGCATAAAAGCTGTGGGGCAGGCAGGACTTACAGAATGGTTTGTTTGGGGCCTTTTTGACAGGTGAAGGAGACCAGTCCCTGATATGGCACTTCCCAGCTGGTATTCCCTGGGTTGGCTGTGTTGGCATGGCATTGTCTAAAGCAGCAGTTTCCAACCTTTTTGGCATCAGGGACTGGTTTTATAGAAGATAATATTTTCATGGACCAGCAGGCGGGGGGGATGTGCTATTGAACCTCACTGCTAATGTTACTCTGTATTTGCAACTACTCTCCAGCATCAGCATCACTGCCTCAGCTCCACCTCAGATCATCAGGCATTAGATTCTCATTAGGAGCACGCAACCTAGATCCCTCACGTGCAGTTCACAATAGGGTTTGTGCTCGTATGAGAATCTAGTGTCCCTGCTCATCTGACAGAAGTCAGAGCTCAGGCAGTAATGCAAGCCATGGGG